AAGAAAAAAGAAAAAAGGTGGAAAATGATGTGTCAGAGTAGGACCCTATGCCTAAACCCAAGCTGAATAGGCTCTTAATTTTCCAAGCTTTTATCGCAAATTGGTGGCAGTTTGGTCTGCCTAACGCCTTAACTTAAAGTCAAGGCTGTACCACAACCTCCAATGTCGCCTACTCTCAACATGATGATGAAGAAGAAGCCACTTTACCAAACTACTAAAATTTCTCGCAAATACCTTAAGTCCTTTGCAAGATTGTCGGTCGGATAATGTACCTATCCAAAATTTATTTTTGTTACATTACAAGTGCCAAATTTACTGTCTTGACCGCACCAGGCCGTAGGGCCACTAAGTGGCCTTCGGGCTGCTTTTGCAGGTACACCTCCCCCTCCCCAATGGTGGGTTGAAACCCACCCTTATAAACTTGGTTAAAAAACAAAAAAATTTTACTGTCTTGACCACAATTTCATCTGAGAGGAATGAGAACGTATTGAGGGAGAAACTAAAATTTTCATCTGGCAATTATAAAGGTATGTTAAAAATATTAATGTATTAAGTGGATATGAGAATGTACTACTTAAATTATTTAAAATGACTAATTTCAAAGTTTGAAAAAAAAAATGAAATGAGATTGAATGGTATAATTTTTTTAAGTACTTGTTGGCATTTTAAGTAGTAATGATGATTGCATTACTCAAAACTCAATACCGAATAACAAAAGAAAAATCATGAAACAATATCCTTATCAACATCTTGAATTGCAACTAGAAATTTAAAAAAGGTGGCCCCATAATTAAGGGAAACGTCTTCTTCATCTTCTTCGTCTTCTCCTTAGATGAACGATCATCTAATTTTGGGTTGTCATGTTGGATTTTTTTTTTTATGAAAATGGGTTGTCATGTTGCTTGTTTTTGTTCCTAGATCCAAAGGTTACGTACGGACAATAGAAAAGGCTCAATGCAGGTTGCAGAGATGACCCACAGGATTGAAGGCCAAGGCCGACATGATTTCATTTCCTTCCAATCTATCATTCCTTGGTAAATTAAAAGTATACTGTAGTGATTTCTCATAGATAACATTATTGCACAATTTACTGTTAAGTACGCATAATACCTTGAGGTCTCAATATTTGAAATATAACCAAAATGGGATTTGCATCGGAAGCACTTTTGTCCTTGCGTTTATGTGAAGTCTTCCTAACCTAAAAGAAAAGGAAATGAAAATCATTTGCATTTAAGACAATAAGACTTTTCTTATAATCTCATAGTGCAATTATTAGTATAATAAATCTTATGTAATTCTATATACATTTTAAAATATTTAAAGTAAGTAAATGTATATTAATTCATATATTTTACTTGAATAAATAAAAAAGAGTTAATAGAAATTTCATAAATTATATCATATTATATAAAAATGTAATAACCATAAACATTGTCACCAAATCTTTTTCATTTCTCCTTGGAACAACGTTGAGGACTTTGATTAGAAAGTTTAACTTTAAACTTTCAGTTTCTAGCCCTTCCATTTCAAATGTCATGAAAAATGCCATTGACTTTCAGATAACAAATAGTAATTTTTTAGGTGGAGTCATGCCCTCACCTAGATCAGATCTAGTTCAATTTAACGCCAATATGCATGCCTTTTTAAAATCCCATGATTAAAATAAAATAAAACTTACAGTGATAAGTGCATATGCAACAAAGTCCTTCGATTATTACAAAGATGTAATCTGAAAAAGACTGACACCAACCAATTAATTTAAATTAAAAAATAAATAATTTTCTTATTATTTACAAATTTAAGGTATTTCAAGTCAATTTTTTTAGATTATAAAATCAACTCGTTTTTAATTAATTTTAAAAATGCATTCCTTTTATAGACGTTGCATTAATAAAAATTAATTTCTTATATATTAAGACAAAAATAACATAATTTAAAAAATAATATTTACTTATTAGTAGATTTAATTATTAAAATTGGTTTAAAAATAAATAATTGACTGTTTTGAGGTCAAATTTAGCGTGGAATCTGAGTCATGTTGACGCCATAGGCCATGACATACAAAACTGAAATAATTTTAAAAGAAATATTTTATGGGGTTTAATGTTTATATATGAGGGAGTAATTATTAATTATCAAAAGGGAGAAAAAAAAAATCAGTGGGTGGCAAATAGGAATTTGCTAGTCTTTGTTGATGGTTTTGTATGGGCCAGAAGAACTGTTCTGAACTCTAAATGACGCCTCTGTAATTAGTCTGTCCTTGTTTTCCCATGTCTTTTCTTACACTCCAAGGATCACCCGTTTCCATGGATTTTCACATTTTATTCGTTTTTGTTGGGACTTGAATTTTGCCGAAACTTTAACTTTTGTTGGGTGGTAGTTTTCTTGAAAATATGCACCAAACACGATTAATTAAGCTTGACAAAACTCCAATGTTTCGATCTTTGCTAAAAGTGGATTGTTTTATAAGATAAATAAATATAAAATTTAAAATTTAAAATTAGTATTTAAAAAAATGTAATGAAAATATAGTGAGTCAATCTAAAAA